TCAATCCGTTGGATTACTTGAATTTGTTGAATGATTACAATCTCCACAGGCTTTCGAGAGGCATGGGACTCCCAAAACGGTTTCTCGCTCAACCARTGTTCACAAAACAGAATGCCTTTCCCTTTAATCCCCTCAATTATGTTGGTTTGGATTATGAAAAATCTTGTTTTGAACTAGTATCGTTATGTTTGTTTGGATTAATATGAAATACGTGTTTTTGTTGAATCGAATTCGAATAATGGGTTTTTATTAGATGAGGGTTAAAATAAAAATTTATTGTCATTCGAGAACAGTTACCAAACAACATTATTTCATTCAGCACTTAACAATTCTGACCCTCTTAACCATTCTGACCTCTTAACTATTCTGCACTAAATCATTCAGCAACTGCCAAACAGCCCCTGGTGTTGTATTTATAGTCCAAGAAGAAAAGGGCAAGTCTTTTCAATGAAACCATTTGGAAAGATGGCAAAACTAGAAGATAGCATAAGTTGTTAGATCATAATAACCTGCAGAAACATGTACAAATATATAGAAAAACCCTGTTTCATAAAATGATAATATCAGGCAATATACAATACATGATAGATTGATTGAATAAAGTAGGAAATCTGATACAAATCAAAAGAAGTTGGGATCATAGCCGTTGCTGGACGTAGCTAGGATGTAGTAAGCGACGATGTGTCCAATGGAACCCCATGCAAGAACATCGACTATGTTGAAACCAACGGGATCATTGGACTTGAGAAGGCTGACATACTCCTTGGCGCGAGTGTCTCCGGCTTCGAAATGGGTGACACCGTTTTGCTCCGGAAGGCCTTGTTTGGCGACGTTCTCTCTCTGGAAGTTGAAGAAGACGAATCTGCCCAAGAAAAGCGATAGGCCGGTGCTGAGGCTGATCACCAAAGATGGGTTCAGCAGCTCTGCCTTCACTCCACAGTTGAATTTCTTCTTTGGGGCAATGGAGAAGTTGGGTTTGGTACTGAGGAAGAGGGAATTAGGGGAGTCAGTGGTCTTGTTGAGTGGCCTGAGCCCTTGGAAGGTTGGTGCAGACAAGAAGGCTGAGGCCATGGTTGGAATTGAATGAATGGATCAAATGGATTAAGGATGAAAGAGAGCAAAGAGGATGAGGAGAGATATATTAGAACAAGAAAAAAGACAATTGAGATTTGTGAGGTGGGAAATGAGCCAAAAAAAGATTTTGGATGTTGAGATGGCATTGTCTTATTGGTTCCTTCTGGATCAGAGATACATACAGCCATAGCTTAATCTTCCTCGTTAATTACATACGAGTATATAAGGCTTAAAAACAGAAGAAAGCTCACCAAGGATCCTTGGCGCAATGGTAGCGCGTCTGACTCCAGATCAGAAGGTTGCGTGTTCGATTCACGTAGGGTTCAATTCCCTTATTCATTTTTATCAAATAAAATAATACCCTTACTTCCATAAAATATATATTTTTTATTTAATGTTGATGTCTGAAGTCTTATTTCACTTCTGATTAATAAAATATGATGTTAGAAGTCTGAAATCTGAATCATCAAGACTGTGTGTTTTGTAAATTGACAAAAATCTGAAGTCTGAAATTTTAATCAATAATTTGTTTTTGTTAAATAATGTCCAAAATTTTTGCAAAATTCTCTTGATTTCATAAAATTCCATTGCCGAAATTCATCTCAACAATTGTTTAACAGATGGAACACAATAAAAATCTTTTGGATACCTTTCAGACTTCTGATGCTATCGGAAATGCCCTCAGTGAAATCAGATTTACGATACAACAACTATAATGTTTTTTTTTTCAAGAAAACGATTTACGATATAACAAAAATCAAATAAATCAAATAAATTTACAAGAATAATTAATAATGTGAAATCAGATTCTTGATTAGAGAATGGAGTTGAATAATATATATGAAGGTGGTGTTGTATCAAATAAATTAATTAGTAATTACCACTAATTAATTTGATTTAGTATCTTTTGGTAGCTTCTGTACATTAAATTCTACACAAAAAAAGAAGAATTTACACCTAAATGACAAGGATTATATGTATATATATATATCTTGATGCAATTAATTAAATTAGACAGTCCAAGTAAGCGTGATTCCGTCTCCGTCCCATCTCGAGGAGGCTGCCGTATGTACGATCCCATACTCCGATGAAAAGCGACTCCGTGTCGGGACTGAACGACGTGCCCGATATCTCACCAAAGAAATCGATCTCCTGTTCCTTCTCATACCCACTTTTAACATCAAAAACATGTACAAAATCAGCCGGTTCTGCCATCGCCATCAACTCACCATCTGACGAGTAACGGATGGATCTAATGGCTCCAATCTTCCCCTTTACAGCAGTTACTGATTTCGATAGCTTTCGAACATCCCAAATTCTGCAGGTTTTGTCCTGATTGCCCGTCGCAAAACTACATCCATCAGGATGCCATGCTGATGCAAATGAGAAATCCAAGTGTCCACGCAAAGTCGCAACTGTCTGCACGCAAATAACTAATTCGTTTTACAACTAATCCCGGGTTACAGAAATGCAAACCTTGATCTAATACCTTGCCAGAACTGGAGTCCACCAACATTCCTTCTGGATTGTCTCCAACAATGATTAGAAGCTTGCCATCAGGGCTAATCGACGTATGCTGCATATATAAACAATAAAATCTAGTTAAATAACTATACGGCATGGAAGAAGACAATACGATCAAGATCAAGATCAAGATCTGTATGAGTGGTTCTTAATGTTTTCTAAAAAACGCGTGAGAGATAGATATAGATATAGATATACATACATTTACTGGCCAAGGAAAACGGAAGTGCTTAGTCATTTGAAAACTTTCCATATCGAATTCTCGGACTCCACAATCATTGTTCGAGGCTGTAAAGTGAACTGCACCACTGCATCATACACACACACACACACAACACCATGAAAATTAGAAAGATGACAAGATACATCATAACCAAAAACTTAAAAAACACATGACGAGATGATACCTGGGAGTCGTAAAAATGTCTAGAGCATTAGTAATAGCATTATCATCATAAGTTGTCCTTGAGCAGAAGCAAACTCCAGGTCTATCTAAATACTGCACTCAACAAAGATGGAAATCCAATGTTTAAATCTCCTCAAAATAAAAATAAAATGTCAAGAACCACAAAACAAGCTTGGACTATTCTAAACATCTAATGTAATTCATTGTTTTCCTGAAGAAATTCTAGTCCTTGGACATGTTTCATTATTTGGATAGAATCAGGAGCAGTTTCAAAATTTTGAGACTCAAAACAGACCCGTCCATATCTATTATATATACATAAGAAATATACTATCAATGGCGACATATAATCATGACTGTAAATCTTGCCTTGCATATAAGTTCACCCTGGAATCCTCCAGCAACTAGCAGGTTATCTTTTACAGCCATTGTGCTGACTTGTGTCTGAGTAAATCCCTCCAGTAGACTTCCAGGGTGCTTCTGCAGACGAAAAATATATCGTCACTGAAATTTGAATCATATGAAAAAGTAAAACAAACTAATTAAGACCTTAAGCACTCACCTCACATGGTGCCACATGTCCTGATACATTAAGGACTTCAGACTTGTTGCAAGTTAAGGAAGACCAATGGATCACAGAGAAATGAGACATAAGGTACACATCATGCTTCGATGTAGCCCATACTAGGTTTCTTAACTAAATCACCAAAAAGAATCACCGATCAGTCGGTCACAAGTGACACAAAATAGGAAGGCTTAAATCAGAGGCCAACTAGCATACCTGAAAATGAAGAATTGTCGATTTTACAGATCTTGAATTCCGTCTAAAGTCATAATACAAGCCTGTTTTGTTTGTGACTTTGCATACCTGTTCACAGAAAAAGATAAAGAAAGTGTGAGGATGTAACAACCAAACCCCAGTTATCATCTAACATCTTAATATAATAGAACAAGTTAAGACATAAAGAAGTACCTTTTCTGAACCCTCCCCAGACTGGGGAATGTTTTCATAGTTCTTATATTGTTCTAGTCTAGTTTGCCTATATTTCTCCCTAGTGATGCTGAGCCTTTCCCAGGGAATACCTTGAATGTCTTTGCCTCTTCTTGCCTGAGCGGCAGAAGTATCTGCCAACTTATTAGTCTACAGTACGTAGACTTGAAGTTAGTATAGTAGTTGCCATATTAACGTTATTTCAATATTTTGTGTATCGACTCTCAAGGATATTAAACATACCATGTAATCATATTCATCCACATCCGAGTCTGAGCCAATATCTCTGACATGAAATTCATCATCCATGTTATCATCTACATCTTCCATTTCATATTCATCAGCCACATATTCATCATCTTCTTGGTGATGTGACATGATCTGCTCAATAAATAATACAATCCCATTAAGAAGAACATCATAACAAAAGAAAACAGTAAAACAAGGAGACTCAAAACTTCAAGGAAAAGTGGAAGCACAAGTCATCAAGAGAATGATACTTTATATGGGATACTTTAAAAATGAACAAATTGAGTGGATGAATGTTCGGCTCCAATGACCAGCCTAAAGCAAACTCCACTAATATATCCATCTACAGATGAAGAAAGACAACATAAATCTCCCTGATCCTTTCTGGAAGATCTGAATGGCCATGTTCACTGCCCTTTGCTAGCTTTATGGGTATCCAGTGTATTCAATGTTGTATATCTAGTATTAAGCCAATACCCCTTCCCTGACAGTGGTGATTCAATACTACTCAACCAAAAGAAATCAAAATCTATGACCTTGTCAGAAAGCAAAATTTTCATTTCTTGACTTCCATATGGTAGGGGAACACCCATATTGTTACATACTTTTAAGAACAGAGTCCACTTAATTATGATGATTTGAAATGTTGAGTATTTCCTGAAATTGATACAGATGCTTTTTGTTTTCAATCAATTATCACAGTGTCATGTAGTTAACAACTTTATCCCAAAACAGATTTCATGAATGTTAGCAAAAGCAAAACATTTGATGATTTCAAGTCAAATTATGGATTTCGTTTCTGTAGGAAGGGAGAAAATTGAAGAACCAAGTCAAAATACATGTATATCTATCAGGAACATGCATGAGACAAGAGACAAATACAACAAATTTCACCATACGATTAAGACAAGCGTAGAACAGAATTCAAAAAAGCGAAATAACGATGATGATGATGATAATCGTCGAATTACCTTGGGCAAATTGTTGAATCAAAAGCGTGAATGAAGAAATCGGGTGTGAATTATGAAGAGGAAATCATGAAATCAGGGGCAGAAAATGTGCGTAGGTTTGTGAAAAGATCAAGAGAGAAAAGGGTATCTATCTCCATCGAGTGGTTGGGCAAAACGACATCTAATCAATAAGGAAATTGAGGAGGGAGGAAAGGGACAGGTTTACGATTCATGTTTGTTGCTGCATCATCTTCTATTCATCCATAACATTTACTCACCAACCCCTCCATTTTCACCCTACCAACAACCACTAAATTACCTCTTTATTATATATATATATATATATATATATATATATATATATATATACACACACACACAGACAGAGACATTCTTGGTTGGTCAAACCCACTTATTTATATACATCATATAATCCTATATATGTTGTATGTTGTTAGAAGTGGTTTATTATAGAATCTTTCTATATAATTAACATAATCGCATCTTAATCATTTATTATCTATACAATATTATAAAGCATTTGATAAAAACTCTTAAAAATAATTTTTTATGTATAAAATATTGTTTTTTAATGTATATTAGTTAAAATTTAAGATTATAAATCAATTGTGCGTAAGTACAACTTATTAAAATTTTATTTTGAATTCGTATAACCAACTGCAGATAAACATAATCAAATACATGATACAAGTAAATTGTGCGTAAGTACAACTTATTAAAACTCTATTTTGAATTCGTATAACCAACTGCAGATAAACATAATCAAATACAAGATAAATATTTTATTTTAAATAGTTTAAAATATAATTATAATAATTTCTAACAGAATCATTATC